ACTTCAGGGGCAACAAAAGGGAATCACATGATGATAATGAGATGGGTTCTCCAAGAAGATGATGTGTGCCCTGAACAACAGAGTGTCAAAAAATACTGCGCAAAAGCCAATAATACCACAAGGAAGAACAAATACATGATTTCAGTTGGAGACCTCCACACCCCCATTTCAGTAATTGATACATCAAACAGGCAGAGAATTAGGACATAGCCGTGCCGGGTAGCACTACCAATCAATTTGACCTAACATTTATGGAATACTCCATCCAACAACTATGTGCAGAACGTTCACCGAGATAGACCGCAGTCTGAGCCGTGAGATCTTATATATATATATATATTTTTTTTTTTGACAGGCAGAGCCAGACAGAGAGACAGAGAGAAAGGTCTTTCTTTTTCCATTGGTTCACCCCCCATGTGGCCGCTACGGCCAGTGCATTGTGGCCAGTGTGCTGCGTGGATCCGAAGCCATGAGCCAGGGGCTTCTTCCTGGTCTCCCATGGGCCATCCTCCACTGCACTCCCAGGCCACAGCAGAGAGCTGGACTGGAAGAGGAGCAACCGGGACAGAATCCGGCGCACCAACTGGGACTAGAACCCAGGGTGCAGGCGCTGCAGGTGTAGGATTAGCCTAGTGAGCCGCGGCGCCAGCCAAGCCACGTTGATTTAAACTACAAAACCAACAGTAGAAAGATGGCTGGGAAACCCCAAATATGTGCAGATTTAGCAACACCCTTCCGTGTAACACATGGGTCAAATAAGGAGTCCCAAGAAGAATGAAAAGGTATTTTGAGTGAAAATGAAAATAAACTGATCCCAATTTGTAGGAATGCAGGAAAAGCAGTGCTTAGAGGGAAATTTATAGCATTGAATGCATATGTAAGAAGATTGAGAATTGAAAATTAAAGTTTCCACCTCAGGAAACTAGAGAAAAAAGTGATATACACAGAAAAAATAATAAAAACTAGAGTAGAAATCAATAAAATTGAAAACAGGAAAGCAATGAAACCAAAAGCCAGTTTTTTTCTCAAAGTTCAGAATATCCTGCTCTGTCCCCATGCTCCCTTCAGGCCACAGAGACACCTCCTGGTCTCTGCCCACACGTGACCACTCAGCTCTACAGTGTTTTCAGCACCCAGCCTCAAGGCTGGGGTTCCAGCAGCACCAGGAGCTGGGTTGTCCCCACCCCCACTTCTGGACCACACGCAGGCTGATGGGGCTCCCATGCTCAGCCTCCGTGCTCAGCCGCTGGTGTGAAAAACCCTTTTTCCTGGGGTATGCGGCTGATAGTTAAAAGACCAGGTCCTTCAGTTACAAAGAATTTGCTAGTAGACAGTTGCAAATGCGGAGGGCCTGATGGTCTGTGTTTTTAAAAACCCAGTCCTGCCTGGTGAACGTATAAACCCTGGGGGCGCGGTGACTTTTCCCCCCGGAGGATTTTCCCCTCCTTTCGGCTTGGAAGAAGGAGGGCCGTGTTCCCGGGGTGCCCTCCAAGTTCACCCCAGTCATGGGTGGCTGGTGAAATGCCCTCTTAGATGCCTCAGAACACACAACAGGATGTGACTCAGGGCTCAAAGATGTGAGTCAGTGTCCAGGCTGATGTGTCAGGGCGAGCCCCAGGGGTGGTTTGCGTCTCCCTGTCTGGGACCCCTGGAGAGAAAGAGCTGGGCTCCCCTGCAAGCAGACAGATGCGCCCGCCCCTCCAGGGCCCCCCACCCCCACCCCAGTGCTTCGTGGCTCCTGAGAGTTGTGTGACATCACAACTCCCGTGGCCCCCTGGGGGCTGAGTCAGCCCCTGCTGGGAGTGGGGCATTTCCGCCAAAGGTCCACGGTCTTTGAGACCCCAGTGTTTCCTGTGGCCTCTGCAGCCGAGGGTTAGAACTGCCACATAGCAGGGACTGGCACAGCAGCCGGCCCCAGGCGGCGGCCACTGCCTCTGCCCACTGCGGCTCTGTCAGTGAAACCCCATGATGCTGTGAGTCAGTTCCCACCAGCTCTGAATCCTGCAAGGAAGGGAGATTGTGAAAGAGTTCCGGGATTTGCCAAGGGCTCGTCTCCGGCTGGCTGCAGGCATCTTGGTTACTCATGTGCGGCTCAGACGCACTCCTCGGACCACGTGGGCACCGAGACCCACCTCTGTGTGTGTTAGAGGCCTTGGGGGGAGGGGTTAGGAGGACCGGGGGGGCCTGGGAGTCGGCGGCGGGGTGCCCACCAGGAGTGGGGCTGTGCAGCCTCGGCTCTAGCCTCCCTGCTCCCTGGAGCAGACTCTGCCCAGCTGCGGGGAGAGGCGGGGACGCCATGTGGCTTTGTGGTCAGGGCCGGCCAATCTGGAACACTGGCTCCTAACATCAGGACCCCTCACCCCTCGTGGCTCACCCCAAGGTCCTGTTCCTCCCCTCCACACCCGGGGGTGAGCAGACTCACCTGCCTCACAGGTGTGAGCGCTAATTACTGTTTGTGGGGCAGCTTTGAGATGCGCAGATGAAAGGCTCTCCATAAATGCAGAGTGCTGCTCCTCATTAGAGCAGCCAGACAGTTCCCAGGGGAACCGCGCGGCCCTGGCCGCGGCAGTCTGAGGCGCGTCTGGAGACGGCTCTGTATTTAGGCAGAGCCCTCTGCGAGCACAGGTTCAGGGATCAGTCACTGGCTTCCAGAAAAGGCGGCCGGTTTTTATACCACGTCTCCTGCTCTGGGGACCCTGGCTCCAGGAGGTGGAGGGAAAGTGGCTTCCAGTGCCCACTGGGCGGGGGCAGCGGCGTTCCCGGGGCTCAGGGGCCCCCCTCTGGTCTCTGGCACCCTCCCTGCAGGCTCCTTCCTTCCCTGCATACGCCGCACGTCTGTCCCCTGGGGTCCACTTCCCAGGCCAGAAGGAGCTCGATAGAGGGGCTTGATGAATGCCTGTGACACAGACCGTGGTGTGGCTCTGCGCGTTCTTCCTAAATTCCTTCCCTTCCTCCACGTCCTCCTCCTCCAACACGAATGGTAAAGGCGTGGAGGGTAAAGACGGCCTTCCGGTCCCGTCCACTCCTGCTCCTGCACCCCTGCCCACGTGCTTCACGCCTCAGAGAACAGATGAGCCAGAAACACTGTGTGTGTGGGGGGGGTCGGGAGTCCCAGGCAGCCTGCAGCTTCGGCCTGAGACCCTTGCCGTCCAACGAGGCCCTCACTCACGTCTAGCCAAGGACCGATCCCTCCGGTGGGAGCCACCAGTAGGAGAAGCACGGCTTCCCCAGGACTTCCTGTGGCTAAAGAAACAGGACTTCCGGAGGAGCAGTGCCCGGAGGGCAGCTCGTGCTATCTGCTGCACGGTGCAGGCTCGAGGGTCTTTGCACGCATGGCCCGGGGGCGGGGGGAGATGCTAGAGCCCAGCTGACCCTGAAAGAGCACGTGTGCCGGCCAGTCTGCCGTGTGCTGGTGAGGGGCCTCTGGGGGAGGCACCAGACACCGTCACAGCTCTCCCTTGGGCAGATCATATTAAGGATCGCAGCTGAGTTTTTCCCGGGGTCCTTGTAATGCCTCGCGGTGGCAGCAGGCGAGAATAAGCGGAGCGATGTTATCTTTGGGACCGCAGAGCTGGAAGATAATGAGCCCCTTCCCCCCGAGCTGCCAGGAGTGCAGAGCGTGGTGCTCTGGGGCCCTGCTCAGAGGCACAGCTGGTCCGCCACGGGGCTCTGTTAGGCCATCATGCAGCCTGGGATTCCTTTGGGGGCCACCCTGTCCATCCCTGCAGCACCAAGCCCTCCCTGCACTTGATCGAACACCTGGCCTCGGACCTCTGATGGGAGAGACAGAGGGACAGGGAGCAGAGTGACCCTGAGGCCACCATCCCCGCCAACCTGCCCACAGCCTCCTCTGTGTGTCACCCGGCTGCAACCCTCACTTTACTTGAGTGTTTTGTGGTTCTGCAAAATGTTAGAACTGTGTGGAAAATCCTGCCATGGCTTGAAGCCCACAGAGCAGCCTCGACTGTCTTCCGCTTCACATGAACCAGGCCCCAACGCAGCCATGCTGGTTCTGAGGCCAGAGGTTCGTTCTGGGTTTAAGTAGCAAGCTCTGAAGAACAGAATTCTGGGAAACTTGGAAGAGAAACTGGGGAATGGAGAGAGAGAGAAGAGAGTGCAAGACAACACACTCCAGAGAGTGCACAAAGAAAAAGCACGCTGGCTGCTTAGCTGTCTGTCGCTTTGTGTGGGCCCCCAATATTTCCAGGGTTTGAGACTTGCCCACCTGAGCTGTCCCTAAAGAAGCCACAGCAAGGAGGCAGCCAGGACTTGGTTCTGGAGCTTGAGAGCAGGATGGAGACCTCGGCACGTCCCTCACTCACTGTACCCCTCGGAGACTCAGTTCCCCACATGGGAAGAAGCATGATTGCATCTACCCGTTAGGTTACCGGCAGGAGGAAACGTGACCTTGAGCCAGCAGTCTTCCCTGCCCTGCCCTTTCCGGAAAGGACAACAGTATTGGGAGTGCAGTGCTCGCCTGCCCCCCTGCAGAGGTTCCCTGTCCCCCGGCACAGTGCTTCACACGGCCCTTGGGGCCTCCGGGCATCAGATCTCAGCCAGCCAGCCAGCCAGCCCTCCGAGGTACAGAGCCTGCCTCCGAGGTCCATGCGTGCCAGGGAGATCTAGTGCCTGCTGCCCAGGCTCTCCTGGGCGTTTCTCCTGCAGTCTGAGCCTGGATCTCATCACAATGGCTCTTTCCCCATCCCCACCTTCTTCGCCTTGCCTGCCCAGGCCCTAAATGAATTCCCTGCACCCAGAGCTGCGAAGCCAGAGCCTTGGAGTGGGAATGCACACACTCCAGTCCGGCCCCTGCACACCAGTCTCTCCCCCTTGCCTCTCAGAGGACTCTGATAACGCCAGGGCCTGCCTGGAGGGAGATGTTCAAGCGCCGGGTGACACCTGTCCATCCCTGGCCCTTCCCTGCCTCTACCTCCAACCATCCACAAAAACCAGAGGAAAGTGTGTGAGCACGCAAAACAACACATTTCTCTTTTCTAAAGGGCGACGCCGTTCCAGCCCCTCTGCTGTGCTGGAGTTAATGACCGACCCAGGAAGTATGTTCTCATCACACAAGGAAGGGCCCGGTGCCCAGGTGGAGACACACACCCTTCACGTGTTTTCTGTCTGTTCTGTCGGTGGCCAGAGAGAGAAAGCCCAGCGTCAACCTCGCTGCTTTAAACAGGAGGCCCGGCAGACACACCAACGCTGACTGGCTTCCCACAGCTGTGTCTTTGGAGGAGTAGTGTTTATTTTACTGGTTAAACTCCAGGAGTCCACACACACACACACACACACACACACGAAAAAGCTCCCTTAATGTATCTTTTTATTTTTCCAAAGTTACTGTATTACTCAGATATTTGCCACCAAAGTAAACTGCTTCCTCATTTGGCTGCGTGTTTCTATGCAGGTTTTGACTTCTTTAGAAGAAGTTGGATTTCTGGGGTTTGCAAGCCAGGAGACTCGCTATCGATGTCTTTGATGGTGTTGGACAACTCCCTGTTTCTCCCAAGCTCTCCAGCTGCGGTCTCCTCCCCCAGTGCAGGTGAGACCTGGTTAACAGAATCTGTTCCCTGGTGCTTGCTGTCATTTTTCGCTCACTGCCCCCCCCTTCCCCCTACAAGAGCTGACCTTGATGTGAACTAATTGGGATTGCACTAGATTAATAACACAGGTTGCTGAGGTGGAGTCTGAAGCATAAAGGAGACCTTTGAAGATAAGAGCCCTGTGTGCTTTCACAAGCTCATCCCTGGTGCTCTGAACAAAGCGCCTAAACTCATAAAGTCAGATTCATCTAGGGGCAATCTACCCTCGCACAGGAATATCACCCCGAACTCTGATTCAGAAAGGCAGATGAAAATCTGCCAGAATTCTTTTAAACACCAACACAGATCTCGATTAAAAAAAAAATGACACACACACATACAAAAAAGTCTCGGTAACGAGCAGACCTCTGATGATCTAAAGATCCACAGCTTCATTTATTGACTTAGAGAAAGTAAATGGCATTTCAAATACAACCTTCATACTTTAATAGATGAGGTCACCCTGAGAAAGATGATACTGAGCCCGGGGTGGGAAACCTCCCTCCAGAGAACGGCTTTGATCTACAAGGTCAAGGAAGGTGTTCTCATAGAAGCACTAGGTTTGTAGTGACTTGGACTGAAATGGAAGGGTTTCTATAAATGTAAATGTTAGAGGACGAGACAACAGACAATTATGGGGATGGCCCATGAAGAACAGAGACACAGGGACCTAAAGAAGTCAGAGGTCAAAATTGGGTGCTGAAGACAGACACCCATGAACTCACTTATCTGCCGGCCACTGGGATCCTATGTGTACTGACTACATCCTTGTAGATCTCCCAGATTGATCTAAACCAGTGGCTGTCAAATGGGGAGGGGTGAGATTCCTCCTCCAGGGGGCCTATGGCAGTGCCTGGAAGCCTGTCTGGTTGTCCCAGCTGGGAAGAGGGGAGTGCTACTGGCACCCGTTGGGTGGGGGTCAGGGCTGCTGCGCACAGCATGCTCCCCACGCAGGGGATGATCCAGGCCTGCACGTCCAGGGAAACGCAGCCCAGGCAAGGCAACAACACTACAGCGCGTTCAGTCACCACGTCCAAGCAGGAGGACAAGCAAGAGGACGTTGCTTGCAGAGCTGCTCATCAGACTTGGAGAAGTCACTCAGCGTTGTGCCTTGGGCTGGGTTCACGTGGCGCTGGGGTGGGGGGTGTGAGGTGCACCCTTCAGGTGCCCTGTGGGAATCCCGGGCAGCTGTGGTCACCGTGCACCCCGGGAGAACTCGGGCCTCACGTCACGCCTGGGGGTGACTGCTCTCTCCCAGGTGCACAGTCTGGCACTCAGGCCCAGAAGGTGACCCATAGAGCCCTGGGTGAGCCACAGGTAACTGACCAACAAGATCACGCCGGACCTGACCATCAGCTTTGCCACCTGGGCAGGGTCAGGCCAGCGTTTGCCTCTGCTAAGCACCCCAGGCATGAGTCACCTGTAACCAGATAACAATGCAAATCACCGACAACATTTCTAAGGTTTCACTCCAGCTTCTCACGGAACCACAGAGCAGAGGGCACCCTCTATGGCTCTCCTCGCCAGCCTCATCTCAGAGGCGGGGGACATCTGGAGGGGCTGAGGACTCCCTCTACGCCTGGGGTGGGGGGCAGGTTAGTGACAGGACAGGACAGTCCTTCCAGATCTCTGTCCACCACGGTTGTACCAGGTGACGGTAAGAAATTAGCCCTACCCCCAATAGAGCGAGCACACACACTGACAACACAAAACGACCGATCTAAACCTGAAAGAAAGGGAGCCATCGGTGACTCACACCTAGCCTGGAAGGGGGGTGCTGCTGCGTGGGGCCACCTGTGAAGCCCTTCTCCCACTTAGGGCTGCTGCCCACCCTGAAACGCAGTCCAGACCATCCCAAATCCAACGAATGCTGACTTCCACTGCTGTGGACACACGAAGACCCCCACGTCCGAGTTGGGAGGCGAGGTCACGCCCTTTTCCCCCTCTGCGTTCTGGGGGTGGGTGAGAGGAGGCTGGCCACGAGGGTCACACCGCCAACACTGCTCCCACCTTTCTCCTAATGGCCTTCAACTGCTGAGCGGCCGCAGCGTGTAGACGCTAAACCCTCTTATGGGAAGTGCCACACTCTTTTCTGCTCACATCACTTAAAATAATGAGTTAGCTGCGCTTGTATTAGTCTGTCTTTCAAGTGGATTAAATTCACGGGCTCTCCCCCCCCCCCCCCCCCCCAGTCTCGCAAGCTCTGGCCTGGCTGTCTGAACCTCTAGATCAGACTGATGAGCACATGCCAGACAGCAATGAAATGCAATTACCCAGGCAAACTTTTGAAGGATTTGAGCCCTGGGGCACAGGCTGTTTACGAAAGACTAAAAGCACCGTTTGTACTGAGCAGGACCAGTTGCCTCGGCTTTCTGAGTTCTGGATGCCGCCTGCCACTGGACTGCAGGCGGGATTTCTGGGGGCCGATAACATCAGCTTCTGTCCGCACCTCAGCACCTCAGGGTCTTTGCTCTGTTTTTCAACAAGAAAATGCAAGTACCAACAAAAGCCCATTATAACATCTCCCTTTGTATTCACTGACTATCTCGCTCATTGGTGAACTTTTTTCTTTTTTTTTCTTTTTTGTATTGTGTACTGCCCCTGAAAAAATGTACGAGAAACCATTCTGTAGCTGATTGGCCCTGCCATTTCTTTGGAAACAAATAGTGTTTCCAAAAAGCAGGAACTTCCTGTCTTCATTGGAAAAAAACCAAAAAACAAAAACCAAAAAACAACACTACCACTACCGAACCACGCTTTCCCGTGACTTGAACAATAGAAGCTTATGAGCATCCAAGCGGAGAGAAGGAGAAAAGGGAAAGCAAAAACAAAAACAAAAACAAAAACAAAAAACCAGAAGAGTGACAAGGACACTGAGAGGCGGCCTTCCCTTCCCTCGGCGGGTCCACATTTGGTTTTGGTTTTCAGACAAAGAACGGCGGGGCAGCACCAGTGGGTCGGGGAGGGTCTTCATGCACTTGGGGGAAACCACAGCGTGTGAGGGGCTCACTGGCTCCCACGCCTGTCATGAAGCGCAGTGGAGCCATCCGGATGCTGGCTGCGGCAGCTCCAGTGATGGGGAGGGGTCCTGGAGCCCCAAGGCCAGGCAGTGGGGTCAGTGCGGGGAAAGAGGCTGTGGTCAAAGAGAACGAGTGAGTTCTTGCAACACTGTGCACCACCACCAAGAGGCACAGGCCAGCTGAGCGTCCATCCGCCAATGAACGCATACAGAAACCATGGTGCATATACACAATGGGATACGGCTCGGTCATAAAAAAGGATGACAGCTTGTTGTTTGACTGGAGGTCACCATGCTAAGCTAAATGAGCCATGTAGGCAGGAAGGCAAGCACTGCCTGATCTCACTCATGTGTGGGATCCAGAAAAGTTGATTTCAGGTGGGCATGTGGTGCCGCAGGTTTACCACCGCCCAGGATGCCTGCATCCCATAGGAGGTCCCACCTCTACTTCTGATCAGGTTTCCTGCCATCACGCCTAGTGGGCAGCAGATAATGGCCCAAGTTCCTGGGTTCCTGCCCCTCCCCCACGGAAGACTCAGATGGAGTTCCTGGCTCCTGGTTTTGACCTGGCCCAGCCCTGGCTGTGGCAGGCATTTGGGGAGTGAACCAGTGGGTAGAAGGTCTCGCCTCCCATTCTCTGTCTCCCCGCACCGCATTACTCTATGTTTCAAATCAATAAAAACGCAAAAAAAAAATGTTTATCTCATAGCAGTTGAGAGCAGAATGGTGGTTAGCAGAGCTGGGGAGAGGAATGGGGAAAGACTGATGGATGAGTACTAAGTTAAATTTAGGAAGAAGAATTGATGGTATTCGATTACACGGCAGAGTGACTACAGGTAATGATCATGCACTATGTACTTTTCTTAGAAAAAAAGAATGGGGCTGGTGCTGTGCTGAAGCAGGTAAAGTCCCTGCCTACAGTGTCGGCATCCCATATGGGCACTGGTTTGAGTCCCGGCTGCTCCACTTCCGATCCAGCTCTCTGCTGTGGCCTGGGAAAGCAGTAGAAGATGGCCCAAGTGCTTGGGCCCTGCACCCGTGTGGGAGACATAGAAGAAGCTCTGGCTTCCAGCTCCTGGCTTCAGATCGGCTCAGCTCTGGCAGTTGCAGCCATCTGGGAAGTGAACCAGTGGATTGAAGACCTCTTTGTCTCTCTTTCTGTCTCTGCCTCTGCCTCCTTGTAATTCTTTCAAATAAATAAACATTTTTTTTTAAAAAAAAAGAAGAAAGGATTCTGAATCTTTTCACCATAAAGAGATGATAAATGTTTGAGGACACAGCCATGTTTCCCTTGACTGGGCATTGTATACATGTATGGAAACATCATAAGGTAGTCCAGACATGTGTGTAATTTTTAAAGTGGGTTAAAAATAATAATTAAAAAGGTGTAAAGTTGGAAGGATGGGTTTGGAAAATGCTGGCACCAAGAATCTAGGAATACTTTCTGGGAAGGAGACATCCCAGGGCCACAGTGCACGTCAGGGAATCGGGTAACTGGAGGAGCCCAGGAGTGGCAGAGAGGCAGGGGCTGGGATTCTGAGGCAGCGCTGGATCAATCTTTGCACTTTGGGGCCAGGACTCTCATGAACTGTATAAGGCCTGTCCAGGTACAGGAGGAGAGCTGCAGGGCAGACTGAGCAGTCTGCGGAGGCAGAAGGTAGGAGGGAAGTGGTAGGGCCAGAGGGTTGGCCTACGGCAGGGAACAGCCGAGGACTGGGAGGCCCAGGAGTCCGGCAGCACCGGGACTTCCCCTCTCCTTCCCGACACAGTA